TGATGGTTACCAGCTTGAGCATCCTGAAAAATGATACCAAAGTTAGGACAAGAAACATACTCATCTCTAATCCTATCAAAGCCGATCACATGAACACTCATAGTCTATAAAACAGCAACTAAATGACTAAGAGTATCCGTAGTCTTGTTTTCAATGCCCGCTCGGTGGTGAAGAACAAAAGTATATTCCTGAAGGAACTCAACCCACCTAACGTGTCTAACACTCAATTTTCTCTGGGAGTGAAGGTACTTCAATGTCTGATGATCAGAATATAACACAAACTCAGATGGCAATAGATAATACCTCCAATGGCTGAGAGCTTTTACCATGGCATAGAACTCTTTGTCATATGTAGAGTATCGTTGTTCAGCTTCATTGAGCTTTTTGCTGAAGTAAGCAATAGGATGACCCTCTTGATTCAAAACTCCACCTATCCCTACACCAGATGTATCACAAGCAACCTCAAATACCTTAGAAAAATTTGGGTGTCGAAGGATGGGTGCCTCTGTCATCTTGTGCTTAACTTCTTGAAAGGCTCTAGTTGCAGCAAGAGTCCATTGAAACTCCCCTTTTTTCATGCACCCTATGATGGGAGCCATAGTGGAACTAAACCCCTTAATAAATCATCTATAGAAGGTGGCCAAACCATGAAAACTTCAAAACTCAAAAATTATTCTTGGCACTGGTAATAGCACGAATTTTCTCTGGGTCAGCTATAATACCATGCACAAAAATAACAAATCCAAGAAAAAATACTTGAGTTTGTATAAAGGAGCACTTCTTAAGGTTTTTATAGAATTTTTCCACACGTAATATCTGAAAAAGCTGTCAAAGATTATCCAAGTGCTCTTCTTTAGACCAAATGTAGATCAAGATATCATCAAAATAGACCACCACAAATTTCCCTAAGAAAGGACGCAATATTTGAGTCACAACCCTCATAAATGTGCTAGGTGCATTAGACAATCCAAAAGGCATGACCAACCACTCATAAAGTTCATCCTGAGTTTTAAAGGCAATTTTCCATTCATCTCTTGGCCTAATTTGGATTTGATGATAAACACTGCGCAAATTTATTTTGGAGAACCAAAGTGCACCGGCCAAAAGGTCATGCATATCTTCAAGTATCGGTATAGGAAATCGATACTTGACTGTAATTTTGTTAATGGCAGGGCTATCAACACAAATTCTCCAAGATCCATCTTTCTTAGGGGTCAACAAAGCAAGGATAGCACATGGACTAAGACTATGACAAATGGACCCTTTTTGTAAAATTCCATCTACTTGCCTTAGGAGTTCAGCACACTCAATGGGATTCATACGATAATGGGGAAGATTAGGCAACTAAGATCCTGTAACTAAAGTCAATAGCATGCTGTCTCATTGGTGGCAACTCAATGGGTAGTTCCTCAGAGATCACATCATTGAACTCTCTCAATAGACTATCAACCTCAAACAAAAGATTGTCCTTAGATTCCAAAGGACTCTAAAAACTTTTTTGACAACTAGAGCTACCACTACGCCAGACCTTTTTCTCTCTTTTTCAAATTCTTTGTGGGTCAAGACGTGAAGGTCTTTATTGTGAATTTTCTAGAAAGATGACCTATGCTTTGACTTATTACCTTCTGAGGGTTTTGTAGGTTTTAACTTGATGGCTTTCCCTTTGTGATTAAAAACATAGGTATTGTCCCTCCCATAGTTTATCACATCTAGATCAAAAAGTCACGGGCGACCTAACAAGACATGAGCGACATCCATGGGTAAAAAATCACACCATATATGATCTGAATAGTCACCCATCTAAATAGGGACTAAACATCTCTGTGAGACTCGCAAGAAGGTCTTGTCAACCCATGCAACCTCGTAATGTTGTGGGGGTGACTTTGGCTTAAGCTGCAATTGAGCTACAGTCGACTTAGAGATAACATTCAATGAACTTCCCCCATTAATGATGACCTTGCAAACTTGACCCCCCACATCGGACAAAAGTATGGAAAATGCTGGTGCATTTTCATGCTTCTGTGCATGAAGGGGTGGATAAAATGCATCTCATCACACTGACACGAGTGTCATCGTTCTTCCATTCTTCCTCACCTTCATCTAGTAACTATAGGGGTTCCTCATCTAAAGGAACAACTTCTTGGTCAAATCCTCTCCGTCATTGGTCAAGGTACACTGAGGGCACTGTGAAGCAATACGACCCTTGCCATGACAACGGTGACATTCTATGTAAGAACTATCCTAGCGAGAACCCATGAGTGTAGAGTCTTGATCCCTAGTGGCATTACCTCTTGAGTTGGGGTAAGTGTTATCCCTGGATATGATAGGCCCTAACTAGGGGATGCCTCGAGACTTATCAAATGGGACTGACCTCAATGGTTGAGGCTCTCCAGTTTGAGAAAGCATAAGACGCTGAAAGGGCAGCTTAAGGTATTTTTCAATCTCTAAGGCTTTATAATTTGCTTCCTCAACCATTTCAGGAGAGTATAAGTTAATCTCTCTCTTAATCTCAAGTCTCAAACCATTAATTAATTTTGTAGTTGTTACCCAAGACTCTTCATTTATGTGACATCTCATAAAGAGTTCTTCAAATCTAGCTAGGTAATCAATCACACTCGAGGTCAATTGATGCAAGTTCATCAACTTGTCCAAGAGTTGACACTTATAGTAACTAGGGAGATATTTATCTCGCAATCTTTGTTTCATCTCAGCCCATAAAGTAATTGGTTGTCCCTTTAAGTGCTTTTGGTCTCATTGAACTCCCTGCCAATATCTCTTAGCCAAACCAATGAGTTTTATTTTTGGAAAAACGAACCTAATAGTGGTCAGGCATATCATGCCAATTAAAATAGTCATCCATTTCATCCAACCAATCTAAGAAAACAATAGGATCTAACCTACCATCAAAACTACGAGCATCCACTTTGACTCTTTGGTTGATATCCCTAGATTCTTTAGGTAAATGCCTATGTCGAGGATTATGGTAACGCAGAGGGGGTGGCCTATGGTCTTTGACATGTGGTCGGAAAGGCTCACGATAAGCATCCATATCACCCTCTACTGAATAGTCAGACATGACTACCTCAATAGGATCCTCCTAAAAATTTCTACGACCTACATTTCATCCAAAAACAGAATTAGGAGGTGGCCTCCTATCTGGACACTGAACTCAGCTCCCCTAAGCTATCTGCAGAGTAGGTAGGACACCTTGACATGAGTCAATAGGATCTATCGGGAGAGACAGGTGCCTAACATGGCGTGTCTGTCTGAACTTAGTTAAAACTGGTGACTCACCCTAGCCGTTTTTAAATAAATTTAGTCAATTGGGCTAGTTGAGTAGTGACTTGAGAAAGTTGTTGCCCCATTCCTTTAACTTCCTCCTATAACAAGTCGAATAATTGTTTAGTGTCAGTCATATCAATGGTGAAGGTCTCAAATATTTGTTCTAGTGCAGTATGAGACTCTAAAAGCTCTCGAAGGGTGATAGTGAATGTAAGGAAAAATTTGGGCTAATGTAAAATGCCAACTAGACTAAAAATTGAACCAAGTAATAAAAACGATAATTCAATGCAAATGGTCATACACAAGAACAAGCTTATTGTGAAGAGACTCAAATAAACGTGAGACAAGCAACAATGGGTTTAACAAGGAATTGGGCAAGCTAAATTATGAATGTGGTGTGCGGGAAAAACAAACAGAGAAAGTTTAGGTAAGATTTTTTATTTTTTTTTGACTTAGCAACAAATATAAATACTAGTCATCAATTCTCAACGAAGAGAACTCGTAACTGGTGTTAGATACAACTCCAAGAGGCTACTTAACAAGTTAGAGGATGATTCCCCAAATTCTAAAACTTTTTGGGGTATTTTGTAATTTTTGGAACTTTTGGGGTGATGTTTCTATAATTTTTTGAATCTGCTAGGGAGGTTTTTGTAATTTTATAAATTCTAGATGATATTTTTGCAATTTGCTTAAAATTATAGGGGTGATTCTATAATTTTTTTAGACCTTTTGGGGATGTTCCTGTAATTCTAAAACTTTCTAAGGTGAAATGGTTAAAACCTAATGTCTTCTTCCTTAAAGATGGACTTCCGACAAACAGAAGGCTGTTACTTCCTTCTTCATGAATAGTTGCAGCACACAACAAAGACTTTGTTCAATCTTTGGCGAAGCACGGCGACTACGATGACGATAAAAAAATAGTAGCCACAACTCTAAAAGTCACCGGCGATTACTAACAAACGATAAACCCAACGAGGGTCTCTGATTTACTCTACTGGTTTTCAAAAATACTAATTGGAACAATGACGATGCTTTCTGATTATGAGTAGGAACAAAATTGGACCAAGAACAGTGAAAAAAATTCACAATGACCAGTGAACAATTGCGATAAACAGTGTGCACGATGAACAATTTTTTTTTTGTTTTATGATTTGTTCGAATCGAAGTTGGTCTTTAATACCAAATTGATGTAGACTAGGAAAGAAAGAATTAGGGATGAGAAAAGAAGAAGAAAGAGATGAGAAAAGAGAAATAATTTTAGAATGAAGCAATATTAGTATTCAATAACAATTAAAGTCTGCCAAAACAATTGTATCCCCTATCTAAATATATATATATATATATATATAAGGAGAGGACAAACCCTAAAATAAATAAATAGTCAAAATGACAACAATGCCCAAGAAAAAAAAATGACAAATAACTTTTAATCCTTACGTCTGCGCGTGATATAACAAAATATAATCGGATTCCTATCATGACATTATTTGCTTTTGTGGTTGGAATGATGTATGAACTCAATTTGTTGAATTACTGACCAAAGAATCAGTACTCCTACCAAATTGGCTTCTTTTTTTTTTTTTTGGTGCATCCTTCATGGGTGCTATTTGTTTGGCCAATGTTGGCTATGAAAATTTTTCATCGGAAATTTAAATATTTTATCTATTTACTCAAAAAAAAATTACACTACCCACAATTTGAATAAGAAAGTTATGTGTCTATAAACTGAGTAATGGTATAAGTCCACAATTCTCCTGCATCTCAAATATGTGGGTGTGTGTTTCACTAATAGGCACAGGTATGTCTTCTGGGTCTCTTTTGGGTTTAACCCTCCTGCCATGTTCATTGCATTCTAGTCCCTTGTTGGCCTGTTGGTACCAAAAATGAGGAATCCTCAGTTCATCCACAAGCATGTCACAGGTCTTGTTCACCAAAGCAACATCCCTTCTAGCATCAGACCTAAATGTTAAGTCTTTACTGTGGAACCCATCTACTAGATGAAGGTAAGTCTCCAGCATATGGAAGCCTGAGACGTTAAATCCGCGTTTGAGATAAGGAGAAAACCATACAACAAGCTTCAATTCAACTCCAACATGTGTGTAAACCCAGTCTAGTGTTCCGGTTATGTCATCAAACTTCTGTAGGCTTTCATTGAAAACAAGCCCGGGCATGCGAGGGACTAAATCTTGCTTAGCTACAACACGTAGTGTTTTTACCCCGATTTGGTGCAACTTATCTCAAAAAGCTATGTTCCCAACCCTAGGCCTACCGAATGATATAACGTTAACATGAAGGCCAGAGAGAGAGGAAGCAACTTCATAAGCAGTGAGGAGAGCCAATGCACCTCCTAGGCTATGTCCAATGATTGTAAGGCTCACTTCTTCACCTCTTGCATTGTAGAATTGCACTAGCCTCTTCACTTCCTTCATAACTTGTTCCGAGGCACTAGACTTGTTGTACCCAGTTGATTCACTTTTAGATTTGTAAATGCTAAGAAACCCATGTTCCACTTTTGCTTCCCCATGCCCAATAGAGTCTAACTTCCTTTGAAAATCCTCGTACCACTCTGAGGGTGACACTGTGCCACGACTATATCTCTTCGCCCGATTCGTCTAGACTCATTATCATCACTGACTCCTNTATATATATATATATATATATATATATATATATATATATATATATATATATAAAGGAAAAACCCTAAAATAAATAAATAGTCAAAATGACAACAATGCCCAAGAAAAAAAAATGACAAATAACTTCTNGACAACAATGCCCAAGAAAAAAAAATGACAAATAACTTCTAATCCTTACGTCTGCGCGTGATATAACAAAATATAATCGGATTCCTATCATGACATTATTTGCTTTTGTGGTTGGAATGATGTATGAACTCAATTTGTTGAATTACTGACCAAAGAATCAGTACTCCTACCAAATTGGCTTTTTTTTTTTTTTTTTGGTGCATCCTTCATGGGTGCTATTTGTTTGGCCAATGTTGGCTATGAAAATTTTTCATCGGAAATTTAAATATTTTATCTATTTACTCAAAAAAAAATTACACTACCCACAATTTGAATAAGAAAGTTATGTGTCTATAAACTGAGTAATGGTATAAGTCCACAATTCTCCTGCATCTCAAATATGTGGGTGTGTGTTTCACTAATAGGCACAGGTATGTCTTCTGGGTCTCTTTTGGGTTTAACCCTCCTGCCATGTTCATTGCATTCTAGTCCCTTGTTGGCCTGTTGGTACCAAAAATGAGGAATCCTCAGTTCATCCACAAGCATGTCACAGGTCTTGTTCACCAAAGCAACATCCCTTCTAGCATCAGACCTAAATGTTAAGTCTTTACTGTGGAACCCATCTACTAGATGAAGGTAAGTCTCCAGCATATGGAAGCCTGAGACGTTAAATCCGCGTTTGAGATAAGGAGAAAACCATACAACAAGCTTCAATTCATCTCCAACATGTGTGTAAACCCAGTCTAGTGTTCCGGTTATGTCATCAAACTTCTGTAGGCTTTCATTGAAAACAAGCCCGGGCATGCGAGGGACTAAATCTTGCTTAGCTACAACACGTAGTGTTTTTACCCCGATTTGGTGCAACTTATCTCAAAAAGCTATGTTCCCAACCCTAGGCCTACCGAATGATATAACGTTAACATGAAGGCCAGAGAGAGAGGAAGCAACTTCATAAGCAGTGAGGAGAGCCAATGCACCTCCTAGGCTATGTCCAATGATTGTAAGGCTCACTTCTTCACCTCTTGCATTGTAGAATTGCACTAGCCTCTTCACTTCCTTCATAACTTGTTCCGAGGCACTAGACTTGTTGTACCTAGTTGATTCACTTTTAGATTTGTAAATGCTAAGAACCCCATGTTCCACTTTTGCTTCCCCATGCCCAATAGAGTCTAACTTCCTTTGAAAATTCTCGTACCACTCTGAGGGTGACACTGTGCCACGCTAGACCACGACTATATCTCTTCGCCCGATTCGTCTAGACTCATTATCATCACTGACTCCTATGAATCCCATCCAATTTGAGTCTTTGCTCCATTTGTCCATCAAGTGAGACCTCTAGAGCCACCGAGGCAAAGCTATATGTGACATAGTATAAATGTACGTAGTCACCTTATAGCCATGCTTATTAAGGCCTAATTTATCAAAAAGCTTATTTTCATTATATCTACAACTCCCACAATACTCCGAGAATGAATCAAAATCAAAGGCATCATACGTTGCTTGCACGAACTCTCCATATTTTACAATCTCTCGTCGAAGCCAAGGGTGAAGGGGATCAAGAAGATTGTCCCACTCATAACCACCTTGAATTTCACGCCATTTTTCCGACATGTCTTTCTTAGGAGACATAACTGAAGTGTTGTGCTTGTCCTCAATTTTGAAATTCTCGTTAGTATAGTGGAGGGTTTTTTGGGCTGGTGACTCGACATGTAGATGTAGGAGGTGAGAGAGTGATTCGGCTAGGCGATTGGACCAGCTAGAAGTTTTTCTATGTGGGCGAAAATTGATTGCAGTTTCTTGATTGGCATAAATTTTCCAAAGCCCATTGGTGTTGGCGATGGTGGATGGGAGGTGAGGTTGGATTGCTTTCATGGTGGCCATTTTGAGTCCCAAACAGTTCACTAGGAAAGAGGATTGGGAGATTTTGGTAGCTGAGAGAGTTGAGGTTGAGAGAGAAGATTCTGAGAGTTCAGTAGGAGAGGGAGGCTTCGGATTTTCGTAGCTCAGATCAGAGAGAGAGATAGTTTGGTGGGCTGAGTGTTGAGATTGAGAGTATATTTATAAGGTTATGTGCAGTTTGAAAAGTAGAAAGGTTTTGTGCCATAGCCTGGCGGAGAAGGAAACATCGAGGTTGGCTCAAAGATGTAAAACGGTCATGATTCTTTCAAAATTTTCCAAACTGCCACTGTGTATGTCTGAAATTCAAGACCATCTTTTTTGAAGTGAGCTAAGTTATCACCTCGGTAATTAATAATTACATTGAAGTTTCATCTTTACGTCCCCAAATTAAATCTCTATAATATTGGTCAAGTTCAATTATCATGAAGATAGAATTTGTCATTACAAAAAACCTAGTGTGTAATACTCCCTTCCGTAATAGATCTAAAAACTATTAGTTGTTTTAAGTATCAGATATAAGTATATCTTATGACTCACTTTACTCATTTCTTCTACGCTCAGTTACATTCATAATTTGTATAAATATATTTAAAAAAATCCGGCCTTGTAGACCATTATGTTCAGTCATTATTTAGAATTTGAGCAAAATTAAATGTGCGTTGTCTTTGTCTTGTACACAGAGAAATTATTTCTACGATCCAGAAAATTGACATTCATTTCACAATAAAATTACTTTATCGTCACAACTAAATCAACTCTTAGTCAATTATTCAATGTATCAATTGATTTTTTTTTTTTTGGACCATCCAATGGATTTTACAAAGGAAACAACTTTTCACCAAGAAACCCAAAAAAAAAAAAAACAAAACCTAATCAAGACTTCTTGTAGCCATCAACTTTTCTTTTCTTTATTTTTAGGCTTCGGACCAATAGGCTAACTAGGTTTGGATTTTCAGCACGCAATCACTAATATTTCTGTGTTCTCATGTGTCACATGGACCACATTGGGAATCTTAAAATATATTGTTATACTTATAATAGTAAGTCTTTCAAAGCGTGTTTGGCAAATGAAATAGACATCCTTAAAAAAACACGAGCAATGTTACTTGGATTTCAATAATTTTGATCGTTGACGTGTCAATTTTTGGAGTCCAAATAACATTGCTTTTAAAACCTCAGACATGACCAATATACACAGCACTATGGATACGATATCTACAAATAATTTTGAGACTTATATTTTCTTTTGTTGTATCTGTGACCGTTTATTTAAATTGAGAGGTTGATATCATATATGCTTAATATTTATTGAATTTTTGATATGAATCACGCAATTAAGAAAACAATATTAATAACAAAAAAAATTGATACAATTGACAAACATGAACAGACAAAAATTGATCAAGGATAGTATCAAAGGGCAAATTTTGTCTCCACTCCGATTTTTATGGATTCTTGAGCATATGTGTCTCATGATATAATGATCAGGTAATAAGAAGTACTACAATTTGTTTGCACACCGAACCAGAAATTATATTTCGTACTCTAAAAAATAAACAATTTTAATGATAAAGAGTTTGAAACTAATGACTATATATTACAACATGTGCAAGTTATTAATGTTGAATGAATATGGACATATTTATAGATGCAGAGGTGATTGTTCACAAATAGCACCACTGATAAGATGCAACCCAAGAAAGTCACCAGAGATGCCTATTGATGAACAGCCACGAAATAATTCATATTCGAACCAATGCGAATTTGAATTCCAACGGATAACAAAAATTAAATTCGGGTAAGGAATTAAGGACCTATTTAGCAAAATAATTTTATCCACAAATATAAGATTGGATCCAACCCAATCCACACCCACACCAGGGGCGACTGGAGTAGGCAGCAGTGCACATGTTATCAAACCCAAGTCTATCTAGGTCCTCTCTCATCCACAAACGTGTGGTGCCCTTTGGGGCTTAATCCTTAGAACAAACCTAGGATATACTTTGTTATTCTCCTCACGAAGTAGAATAAAAACCAAAAAAAATTTACTCAAAATAATAAGTGAGCCTCGCTTTAAATTAAGTTCAAAAAACCAAAATCAAAAATTTATACTTACAAACTATTTTGTTCCAACAAAATTATTAAAATAAAGTGACGTAATAAAATAAGCAATTTTTATACATATCAAGTTTTAGCAGAATCAGAATTCTATGTTGAGGGGATCAACAATAACAGACAAAAATTTCATTCAATTGGTTTATTCAATTGTCATTGTCAATGATAATTTTTTATTTATAAAAAGATTATTAATTTTATTTTTTATGCAATGACATTGAAAAAATTATTTTTGAACACAAAACTCAAAAGTGGTTCATGCCATCATAAAAATTCAGTTGGGATAATCTCCTCCATTTTTTCTTGCTTATAATATAACCTTATGTCTATAAATAAATCAAGGTTGCAAATAATCTATATAATAAAGTACAATACAATTCAAATCTCAAAAGATAAACAAAATGACTTTTATTTTTCACGGTTGAGATTTCTTTAATTTTTACTTTAAAGTTAATCTGACGGCTAATGCTAACACCTCAAATTTAATAGGAAAAATAGGCCCTTAAGGATATGTTTGAGATAANTCAAATTTAATAGGGAAAATAGGCTCCTAAGTATATGTTTGTGATAATTTTTAAATATGTTTCTAAAACTTCTAACTTTTCATAATTATTTCTATTTTTTGAAAATAGTGTTTGGAATCGTCTCATCACCTCCACCACTACTATCACCAAACGCCCACCATCATCACCACTACCACCACCACTGTTGCCATCCCACCACCACTACCACCACCCCCATCGCCCCACCACCACCATTACAGCCACGCTACCACCACCCCCATCCCAAGCACCACCACTACCGCTGTTGCCACCTCACCACTACCTCTTCCATAATAATCACCACCATTGCCCCACCACCACCATCGTCGTAGCCATCACCATTGCAGCCACCCCACTAACACCCCCTCCTTGCAACCACCATCCCCACTACCATCACCACCACTATCGCCACCTTATCACCACCGCCACTGTCCCACCATCAACTCTATCACCACCACTATCACCGTTGTTACTCACGGCTACAACCATCACCAACAAATATTGTCACCCATCACAACCATCACTGTCTCCCCCCACTAACACTGTCCCACTCGCTTCACTATAACCGGTGCTTAAATTTTTTTATCTCTTCTCTGTCTTTATGATTTGATTTTGGGTGTAAATTGCATTGTGTGTTTTATCTTAAATATCAATTACTTTAGTCTGATCTGTCTCTATGGATAGAGATCCATCATTGCCCTTTGCCAAATCCTGCTGACGAAGCAATGCCTTCATTTTAATCTTCCATAAACTAAAATTATTCTGACCATCAAAATTTTCTATCTTTAATTTTGCTACAACCATTNATTGGTCAAGTTCAATTATCATGAAGATAGAATTTGTCATTACAAAAAACCTAGTGTGTAATACTCCCTTCCGTAATAGATCTAAAAACTATTAGTTGTTTTAAGTATCAGATATAAGTATATCTTATGACTCACTTTACTCATTTCTTCTACACTCAGTTACATTCATAATTTGTATAAATATATTTAAAAAAATCCGGCCTTGTAGACCATTATGTTCAGTCATTATTTAGAATTTGAGCAAAATTAAATGTGCGTTGTCTTTGTCTTGTACACAGAGAAATTATTTCTACGATCCAGAAAATTGACATTCATTTCACAATAAAATTACTTTATCGTCACAACTAAATCAACTCTTAGTCAATTATTCAATGTATCAATTGACTTTTTTTTTTTTTGGACCATCCAATGGATTTTACCAAGGAAACAACTTTTCACCAAGAAACCCAAAAAAAAAAAAAAACAAAACCTAATCAAGGCTTCTTGTAGCCATCAACTTTTCTTTTCTTTATTTTTAGGCTTCGGACCAATAGGCTAACTAGGTTTGGATTTTCAGCACGCAATCACTAATATTTCTGTGTTCTCATGTGTCACATGGACCACATTGGGAATCTTAAAATATATTGTTATACTTATAATAGTAAGTCTTTCAAAGCGTGTTTGGCAAATGAAATAGACATCCTTAAAAAAACACGAGCAATGTTATTTGGATTTCAATAGTTTTGATCGTTGACGTGTCAATTTTTGGAGTCCAAATAACATTGCTTTTAAAACCTCAGACATGACCAATATACACAGCACTATGGATACGATATCTACAAATAATTTTGAGACTTATATTTTCTTTTGTTGTATCTGTGACCGTTTATTTAAATTGAGAGGTTGATATCATATATGCTTAATACTTATTGAATTTTTGATATGAATCACGCAATTAAGAAAAAAATATTAATAACAAAAAAAATTGATACAATTGACAAACATGAATAGACAAAAATTGATCAAGGATAGTATCAAAGGGCAAATTTTGTCTCCACTCCGATTTTTATGGATTCTTGAGCATATGTGTCTCATGATATAATGATCAGGTAATAAGAAGTACTACAATTTGTTTGCACACCGAACCAGAAATTATATTTCGTACTCTAAAAAATAAACAATTTTAATGATAAAGAGTTTGAAACTAATGACTATATATTACAAAATGTGCAAGTTATTAATGTTGAATGAATATGGACATATTTATAGATGCAGAGGTGATTGTTCACAAATAGCACCACTGATAAGATGCAACCCAAGAAAGTCACCAGAGATGCCTATTGATGAGCAGCCACGAAATAATTCATATTCGAACCAATGCGAATTTGAATTCCAACGGATAACAAAAATTAAATTCGGGTAAGGAATTAAGGACCTATTTAGCAAAATAATTTTATCCACAAATATAAGATTGGATCCAACCCAATCCACACCCACACCAGGGGCGACTGGAGTAGGCAGCAGTGCACATGTTATCAAA